AACTTACTTGACTGAAAAGAGTTCAGAGCTAGATGGATTCACTGCTGAACTCTAGACCATTAACGACAAGCCAACATCACTGTTTCTCATGCTATTTCATAAATTAGAAAAAGGAATGCTTCCAAACTCTACTTGCAAAGCCAGTATTACTCTGATAATAAATAACATAGATGACACAAAGGAAAATTAGAGACCAATCTCTGATGAATATAGATCCAAAGGTTCCTCTTACAATACTTGCAAACTCAATCTAAAACACATCAGAAAGTTCATTCATCATGATCACATTGACTTATTCAGGGGATTCTGGGATACTTCAGAATCAACAAAGCAGTACATGTAATATAGAAAATAAATGAGCTCCCATCTAAGTACTAACCAGGAATGACTCAGCTTAACTTCTGAAATCAGATGAATTTGGGCACATTCATTGTGAACTGTGTGAGCTACAATAATGACCAGATTGTTAAGAGGTGCTCACTGATGTAATAACGATTCAAATGTCATGGGAGTAATTAATACTATTCTGATTGGATTTGTTGCCTGCTCCACAAGATAAAGTCCGTACTTGACACTGTTATCAAGGCCAAGAACCTATGGCTAGTTAGGTCCCAGGTCCTAGGGGAGACCCTACTGCTATTATTTTGTTAAATGGGCATATTATTAAAAAAAAAAAAACCTCCTAATGGCTTGTTGTTATACCCATAGATTGATGCATCTCTTAACCCCAGGAACAAAAGCTGCTTTTGGTAGTACATTATGATTAACACAGATGTCCACAACTCACCAAGGTGCAGACAATTAGTTACTGTGGAATTCTCAGCCCTAAATGTGACTTCGGTATCACATGTGCCCTCCTCCCAAGGCTCAGGAATTGGTTGTGGAAGAGGGGGAGGAAAGATTCTAAGAGCCAGAGTTGGTTGATGACTTCAGTAAACAATGTTTTCTGTACATGATGGGGCAGTTTTCTTTAAGAATGTGGCCCCTGATTGGTCAGTCAACCATGCTCCAGAGGGGTGGCCAGACACCCAAGAGTAGATGAGCAAACTGAACTAAAGTTGGTTGAGAGGGAAGACAGAAAGTTAGGTGGTTAGGGAAGCTGGGTGGATCTAGAAGGAGTTGGAGGCAGAGGGGTTAAGTATGAACAAAATGCCTTATGTAAAACTCTCAAAGAACAAATACAAAAGTAAGCAAAATAGAAAAATGTAAGTGGACTCAGGGATAAAAATCATGTGATTGTTTTTTTCAGCAGATGCAGAGAAGACTTTTGACAAAATCCTGTATCTCTTTGTGATAAAAGCCCTAAGGAGCTGGGTGGTGGTAGCACACCCCTTTAATTCCAGCACTCAGAGGCAGAGGCAGGCGGATCTCTGTGAGTTTGAGACCAGCCTGGTCTGCAAGACAGCCTCCAAAGCCACAGGCAAAAAACAAAACAACAAACAAAAGCCCTGAGGAGTCTAGGAATAGAAGGAACCTACCTGAACATGAAAAAGACTATAAATGGCCAAACCTGGAGCCAGAATCATATTAAATAGAGAACAACTCAAATCAGGAATAAGACAACTATATCTTATCTACTTTCTCTACTTTTATTCAGTGCTTCAAGTCTTAGGGAACTAAATAAAAGGGAGACAATCAGGAAAAGAAGTCAACGTATCATTATTTGCAGATGATATGATTTTATACATGAGACCCTAAGGTTTCCACCAGGAAATTCTTAAAGCTGAAGAACACATTCAATAAAGTGGCAGCATAGAACATTAGCATAGGCCGGGCGGTGGTGGCGCACGCCTTTAATCCCAGCACTCGGGAGGCAGAGGCAGGAGGATCTCAGTGAGTTCGAGGCGGGGCTGGACCGACAGCCTCCAAAACAACACAGAGAAACCCTGTCTCGTTAAAAAAAAAAAAAAAAAAAAAAAAAAAAAAAGAACATTAGCATAGAAATCAGCCTTCCTGTGTGCCAATAACAAACAGCCTGAGGGAAGAAATCTGGGAGACAATTCCATGCACAGCTGCTAAAAAGGGGATGGGGTGTATCATATGTACTCAGGAAGAGGCAGAGGCTGGTCTGCATAGAGAGTTTGAGACCAGCTAGGGCTGTGCCATGAAACCATTTCTCAAATAATAAATGAAATCCCTTAGGATAAACAAATGAAGAACACCTCTGCAATGAAATCTTTGAAACAGAAGAAGCTGGAGAAAACACTTAAGCTTGTGTATTGGAAGAATTAGTATAGTGGAGATAACCAGCCATTATCAAAATTCCAGCATTCTTCACAGAAATAGAAAAAATGTCTTAGGGAAGCCTATGCAGAGACCCACACCCAGACATTAGGAGGTGCTCAGGGAACACTGAGGAAGAGAGGGGGGAAGGACTGTAGGAGCCAAAGCGTTGAGGACACCGGGAGAACAGGACCCACATAATCAACCAAGCAGGGCTCATAGGGGCTAACAGAGACTGAAGGGACACTGGCGGAGCCTACGTGGGTCTGCGCTAGGTTCTGTGCACGCGTGGTGTGGTTGTTTAGCTTGGTGTTTTTGTTTGACCTAACAGTGGGAGTGGGGGTGTCTCTGGCTCTTACCTGCTCTTCGGGGACCCTTTTTGTCCTACTGGGTTGCTTCATCCAGCCTCGATAAGAGGATTTGTGCCTAGTCTTATGGGAACTTGTTATGCAGTATTTAGCTGCTGTCCTTGGGAGGCCTGCCCTTTTCTGAAGGGAAATAAACGGAGGAGCAGTGATCTGGGGGAGAGGGTGGACAGGTTGGTGGGTGGGAACCCGGAGGAGTAGAGGGGGGAAACTGCAATCCAGATGTGTTGTATGGGAGAAGAATAAACAAAAAGAAAAAAGTTACAATGTGTATGGAAGCATAAACACCTTGCCTTCGTGAAGCCTTGTCTTGTTCTCAGGACAAAGCACCCAACTTCAGCAGCTAAAGAAAGGAAAAAACATTTTTCTGGCTTACAGTCCCAGGTACATTCTGTCATGGTGGGCAGGTCACATTGGCAGGAACTTGAGGCAGCTGAGCAAGTTGCAACCATATTCAGGGGGCAGAGAACACACCTGTGGGGTGACACTGTGGGCAAAGGTACTTGCTGTCAAGCCTAATGCCCTGAGTTCAACCCCCAGGAACCACATGGTGGTGGGTGGGAACTCAGTCCAGAAAGTTGTCCTTTGATCTCCTATTGTATGCATGACATCAGCATGCTCCCACACATAAACTTAATAAAAATACGTAATTTAAAAATGAAAAATGAAAAAAAAAACTCATCAGAGAGCAGTGAATGGCTGTGCTCAACTTATTGTCTTCCTTTTGTTCAGGCCAGGAGCCCAGCCCGTAAGAATAGTGCCACCCACATTCTTGGGGGTCTTCCTGTCTCATTTAACATCATCTAGATAACCCTTCCCAGGCATGTCTATAGAAACATTTCCTATGTGATTTCAATGCCTGTCAAGATGACAGTTTTAAAAGTGCTACTTACTTATCTTTATTTGTAGTATATTTATATATGTGTGAGTTTCTACATGTATGCCAAGTGCCTGCAGAGGCCAGAAGAGGGTGTCAGACTCCTCACAGCTCGAGTCTCTAGCTGCCTGGGCATAGGTAACTGAACTTGGTGAACCATCTCTTCAACCCCAGTTTGGAGGAGAGAGGGAGAGGGAGGAGGAGAGAGGGAGGGATACATCTGTGTGCTGTGTTTCAGATTGGCCTCATACATGCTAAGTCTCAAAAACATTTTTTTTCCTGAGACAGGCTTTCTATGTGTAGCTTCGGAGCCTGTCCTGGATCTCACTCTGTAGGCCAGGCTGTCCTCGAACTCATGGAGATCCACCTGCTTCCATGTCCTGAGTGCTGGGTTTAGAGGTGTGTGCCACCACCCGGCCAAGTCTCAACTTTTTTTTTTGGTTTTACAAGACAGGGTTTCTCTGTATTGAAGTCTCAACTTCTTAAACTGTGGTTTGTGACCCAAATGTGAGGTTGGGAAAAAAACTGACAATATTAATGATCATAGATACTAATTCAGTTTATTAATGTTCCACCTTTAGGCTACTATCAATCACCTTTCAAAGGCCCTGTGTTCTAATACATGGTATTTGCATTTCAGTATATGTATGGGGACACAGCAAGTCCCTAATTCTTGGGCCTCTAAATTTGAGCTACATGGGAGAGCTTTTGTGGTATTTTATTTGCTGAACTTTGTTTTGGTGTTTGAACCCAGGGTCTTTACTTGTTGGGCAAGTGCTATATCACTGAACTACCGTCTCAAACCCTTACCTTAATGCAAACCAACCAATAGGAAAAATACTTAAAAAAGAATTCTTGCCCTCATTGTGTCTGTATTGTCTTGTGGTGTATACATGAGTGTATCTGTACTTGCATATGTGGAGGTCAGAGAATTGTGTGGTAATATATCTTTAGTGTTAAAACACTGCCAGAGGAGAATGTCAGGCATCTTGATTCTACTGCTTTCTACCTTGTTTTGAAAGAGGGTCTCTCACAGAACCAGACACCTGCCATTTCGACAGGGCTGGCTGGCACGGTAGCTTGTGTTTGGCACCCACCTTTCTCTGTCCATCAGGGCTATAGACTTGTCTGGGCTTTTTTGTGGGTGCTGTCTTCATTCTCTTACAGCAAGTTTCTTACCCAGGGGGTCAACTCCCAGCCCCAGCCTTCTATCCCCATTGATAGAATCCTTCCTCAGCAGGACTTGAGTGGATCATAACATCCTCTGTCACTCTCCTTGAAGCTGTACATTTAGGTAACATTTTCCTGTGTTTGTGGGGATTAAGAAACTCACACAGATTCAGCAGTGATTGTGTTTCTTTGAAATTTCTACTGTTTGTCTTACTTTCCTTGCGGGGCTGGGACTAGACACCCAGTCAGCCAGTGTCAGTGCATCTCATTTTATTAAGTGTGTAAGAGAAACCAACTGTTTGACATGTGTTAGAGTAATTGGTCAGTTTTAACTTTAAATTTATTTTGTAAAAATGGCTTTGCAGGTTGGAATTCGAGGAACTAATATAGTTGTGCTTGGGGTAGAAAAAAAATCAGTGGCGAAGCTTCAAGATGAAAGAACTGTGAGGAAAATATGTGCCCTTGATGACCACGTCTGCATGGCTTTTGCAGGTATGTACAGACTTCCAGTGATGTGTATGGTATTTGAATATAACAGAGTGGGGTAACACAGTTGTCTGTGGTTGTGCATGTACGTGTGTTTGCATGCATGTGGAAGCCAGGGGTTGATGTTGGATGTCTTCCTTTGAGGCTTTTCCATCAAATCTTTTTTGCAAGCCTTTGATCCCTGCAGAGGCAGGTGGCTCTCTGTGGGCTCGAGGCCAGCCTGGTCTACATAATGAGTTCCAAGTCATTCAGGGCTCCAGAGACCAGCTTGTGTCTGGTTCCTCCAGCACTAGAGTTACAGAGATTCCTGCCTGTGCCAAGCGTCCATGTGGGTGCAGGGGTGCTGAAATCAGATTCTTATGTTTCTGAGCAAGCTACTTTGCAGCTGAACCATTTTCTATCCCATAATATTTTGTAAGTTTTATAGATAAAAAGTTATGGCAGGTGATGGTGGCACACCTCTTTAATCCCAGCCCTCAGGAGGCAGAGGCAGGTGGAACTCTGAGTTCAAGGCCAGCCTGGTCTACACAGTGAAGGACAGCCAGGGTGGTTACACAAAGAAACCCTGTCTTGAAAACAGTCACAGGAAGTTGCTAAGAAACAGAGAAGTCTTTTCTATTTCCCCAAGTTTTTCTCAGTGATACCATCTTTAAAAGCATCAGGTGTATCTGCACAGGCCAATGTAAAACTGCTGAGACAGTGATACCATCTTTAGAAGCATCAGGTGTGTATCTGCACAAGCCAGTGTAAAACTGCTGAGACTTCAAGCTGCTTTATATGCATCAGGTGCATCTGCATGCAATGCGAAGCAGTGGTGCATCATATGAATGCACCACCTTTGACATCTTGGCTACTGCAGGGTGTTTGGGCCATTTCCAGGTTTTGTCCATTACAAATAACATATGCACATGTGTACATGTGTTTGTGGAAGTAGAGGTTTCATTTCTCCAGAATAGATCCTTCCAGTAGTCTGGTTTGTACTAACCTCATGTGTTGATTCATGCTGTCCCCACAGTATTTAAGGCACAGAGCCTCCATTGCTACAAGGGTAACTCATGTTCGTCCTTTCCCCTTTTCTAACCTGTCGGCCTCTAACCTAGGAGGTTTCTTTAGTTTTGTCATTTTGAATCTTATATGACTCACATGTGGAAGCTTTTCAGATGATTCGTGTTCATTCTTCTGCATTTGCCCCAGCTGTTGGATGTGTCAGTAGCTGCTTTTGCTTTTATTGTTGGGTAGTGTTGCATGGTATAAATGAGCCACTATTGTTAACAGGTTATCTACTTATCTTTGAGCCCTCCTAGCTTTTGCTTCTTACAGATAAAAGTGAGCATTTGGGATAGGTGTCTGGGAATGTGGGATTTCACTTCTCTGGAGCAGAAACGTTGCTGGATTGTGTGGTAATATACCTTTAGTGTTAAAACACTGGCAAAATGTAAAAGTGGCTGTATTGTTTTACATTCCCACTGTCACTATGTGTGTGATTCAGTTTTTCTGAATACCCAGTAGCATTAGATTTTGTTGAAGTTTTTTTTATCATTCTTTTAAATCTTCAGTCATTTTTGACTGTAGATTAAATTTACATTTTCTCAAGGCTGATGACATTGGGCATATTTTCTCATGCATATTTGCCTTTTACACTGAATAAAACATGGTCCTGCACTCTGCATGGCTTGGCACCTTAACCTGACTTAAGGTACTGAGGGAATGAAGAAAGGACAGACAGAGACATACTCCAGAAAAGCTGGGGTCAGGTGGGCTGTGGGCTGTGATGGAGCCACACTAGCTACTGCAACAACCTGGAGTCTCAACACAGTTGTTAAGTACAGCATGGCGAAAGAGTTAGCTAGTCTTGGTAAGGTGTGTCTGTAGCCGAATAGTCTCAAGCCGTAAACATCTGGAGGAAGCTGCATTTGCTAGTCTTTGCATACACTGGCCAATTGTTCCTAAACACTCCCACTTGCCAATATTGTCAACAACTATATTTGAACCAGAGAAAGGCTTTTCCATCACTCTGAGCCTGACTTTGGAGGAAGCCTTCGACAGTTTCCATGGGTCTGAGGCAGTGATCCTTGACATAGCCATGCAATACACATTGATCCAGGACCCCCATTTTCTCTCTATACACTCATCCAAGGCATCCTCAACTCCCAGCAACATAGCTCATCAACTTTCTTTTGGCTTGGTTTCTAATTGTTTTCTTTTAAACAGGAATTTTATATTGACAATTAAAACACTCATTCAGCAAGTAACTTTTTCCCTATTGTGCCTTGTAATTGTCATAAAACAATTCTTGATAAACCTAACAGATTGAAATCACATTTAGTATCTTTTCTGCTTAAAAAGGATTGAAACCAGAAATCAATAGCTGAAAGCAAACTTAAAATGCACAAATACATCAGTTAAACAATGTATTTCTAAATTGCCATGGATAAAACAAACAATTACTAAATATCTTCAGAGAAATATAAATGAGCATTGACAGCATCAAAACTTGTGGGATGTATGAAGTAAACACTTAATTTTGTTTTGTTTTGTTTTATGAACAACTACTCTATACTTGAAAATATAGAGTAAACCCAAAGCTACCATCACACCTGAGATAAACAGACCAGAAAGATGATAGAAAATTAAAGCAACAAAAAAGATGAACAAAATTAAAAATTAGTTATATTGACTAAATAAAACTATTTCTAAACTAAAATGAGAGATGAAAATGGCTCATTGCTTTCACTTTCACAGAAATACAAAGGCTGTAAAAGACTATCTGTACCATTGTGTGCCAACAAAATGCCTTGAAGTACACAAATGGCCTACTTACTCAGTAAGTCAACCTCAACAGCTGTCTGAAGATGACTGTTTCCACGTTATCAGGAGAACTACTTGATTATATCAACTGATACAGAAGTAATGCATTGGGTGCCATTCAGTACTCTTTCTTGGTTAAAAAGAACACGACAAATTAGAAATGTATCTCAGTTACAATTACGTTATATGTGTTGGTCAAGTTAGGGCTTCTATTGCTGTGAAGAGACACCATGACCATGGCAACTCCTATAAAGGAAAACATTTAATCGAGGTGGTAGCTTACAGTAGTTCAGAGGTTTAGTTCATTTTCATCATGTCAGAGAGCATCGTGGCATGCAGGCAGACATGGTGCTGGAGAATTTTGCATCTTATCCAAAGGCAACGGAAGTGAATTGAGATACTGGGTGATACCTTGAGCATATAACCTCAAGCCTACCTCCACCTACCTCCACAGTGACACACTTCCTCCAAGACCACACTTACTCCAACAAAGCCACACCTCCTAATAGTGCCACTCCCTTTGAGGGCCTTTTTCTTTCAAACCACCACATGTGAAAAACTCAGCTGATGTATTCACTGGTAAACAATTGAAACTTCACCTCTAGAATCAATAACAGGCAAGTGTGCCTGCTTTATTATTGACATTCAATATCATAATGCATGTTCTATCTGGAGTAACTAGTCAAGAATAAGAAATAAAACAGCCCAACTGTTCAGAAAGAAACGAAAATCATCTCTTATTACAGGAGGCATAATTTCATATCTAGGAAACCCTATAGGTTCTACAAAGAATTACTAGATATGCTGAGTTGAGATGGTATCTGGAATGAGATGGCAGATTAGCAAACAGGTCTCTCAGCTAGGCATGGTGGCCCATGCCTTTAATCCCACCACTCAAGAGGCAGGGACAGGTAGATCTCTGTGAGTTGGAGGGTAGCCTGGTCTACAGAGTGAGTTCCTGGTCAGACACGACTATACAGAGAAACCCTGTCTCAGAGAGAGAGAGAGGAGAGAGAGAGAGAGAGAGAGAGAGATTGATTCTCTGTGTGACCCCATAAGTGAGAATAGTAGGACTTGTAAACGACGTTTATTCAGAAAAGGGAAAGGAAGAACACCAGGAATCTTAGAGATGCTAGAGGGCAAAGAGAAGCAGAATGCTCAGGGGAGTGGAAACAGCCTGCTGTCCAGCCCAGCTGCTGGAGCTCGGGGAAGCTGAAGCCACAGTCACTAGTCAGGTGGCCCAATCCTGGTGAAATGGAACAAGTTTTCACAAGTGTTAAATCTAGCAGAAGGATTTGGTCTGACTTTGACAAATTAGCCAGCCAGCATTGAAGTCAAAGTTGACTTTGCTGTGTGTGTGTGTGACAAACATTCATTCATCTGTGGAGCCATCTCCCCAGCCCCACTACAAGTTTTTTTTTTTTTTTTTGGTTTTGAGACATGATTTCTGTGTGGCTTTAGAGGCTGTTGTCCTGGAGCTTAGACTAGGCTGGCCTCGAACTCACAGAGATCCTCCTGCCTCTGCCTCCCAAGTGCTGGGATTAAAGGTGTGTGCCACCAGTGCCCGGCTCACTCTAAGTATTTTTAATGTTAACATTTCTAGCTGTAAAGAGGACATATGCGCAAGTAGCTTACTGAACTATTTTATTTGCATAAAACATTAACCCAGGGGTAGACGAGGCCTTCTCTCACTAGTCCTTTCTCTTAGAAAACTAGTGTACAGAGAATTACTCTCTCTTCCTTTTTCCAATTCATACCCCACCTGTGTCAGGTGATTTTAAACTGGGCATATTCAGACAGCTCCATTTCCTGCCCGTCCTCCTGTATCATGGGGTGAAGATACCAGTGCATGTAGCAACAGGGTTTGACGTGATGGTGAAGGTAAATGCATGTGATGAGAAAGAACAATGATTCTGTGAGAAGTGCCTCATTCCAACATGTTTGCAGTGAAAATGGGATACATTTCATTAGTACCAAAAGAGAAGTGAAAGGCTCTGGAGGGGCGGGTCAGCAATTCAGAATGTGTAATACTTCTGCAGAGACTTGAGTTGTTCCCGGGAACCATGCCAGGCAGCTCACACTGCTTTTAGATCCAGCTCCAGAGGATCTACTCCAGAGGGTCTCTTTCGGTACACACACACACACATACACGCACGCGCGCACACACATACTTCAAATTAAAATAAACCCTTTTTTTTTTTTTTTTGGTTTTTACGAGACAGCTCTGTATTGTTTTGGAGGCTATTGGTCCAGCCCGGCCTCGAACTCACAGAGATCCGCCTGCCTCTGCCTTCGGAGTGCTGGGATTAAAGGCGTGCGCCACTGCCGCCCGGCCAAAAATAAACCCTTTTAAAAGGAAGTGGTGAAAGAAACAAAATGGCGGTAGAGCAGTCAAATACCAGTGTCATCTTTAATTTATGCAAACGATCGGACTGAGCTGTCAGTCTCCAGCTTCAGGTAGAACACATACTGTCTCCTGGAGACAGGCTGAGAATGGTTTGGATGAGGTTTTGGCTATTTCAGAAGCTCAGTCAGAGTCTGCCTGTCTTAACATTGTTGATTTTTCAATGTTGTCATTTTGACAAAAACTTGAGAAGTGATACATCACAGTTTTATCAAGTGTAACTTGAATACAGTACTTCAGGATGGACCACCATCCTTGCTCTCATAAGAAAAAAAATCAATTTCCTAATAGTGTTTAAACTAAACCATTTACTATTTCCTTTACAAAAGAATCAGGATATGTGAAATTTAGTCTTTAAAAGAAATAAATCACAATTAAGGCACATGACATTTTCTAGTTCTTTGATGAAGGTGTTATTGAAGGGAAAGGATGCCGTAAGCAAGAATTATTAACTCAAACTTTTTGACAAGAACAATATATTTTGAGAAACGTATACATTTTAAATTTTGACTGTTTTTACAGGTCTGACAGCTGATGCGAGGGTAGTAATAAACAGAGCCAGGGTGGAATGCCAGAGCCATAAGCTTACGGTGGAGGACCCAGTCACCGTGGAGTACATAACTCGCTTCATAGCAACTCTAAAGCAGGTGGGCAGATACTCGTAACACAATTCTTCCTTTGGCTTTCTACTTTCTAGTCATGGGTCCTGTCATAGAAATACTGTAATAGCTCTAAGCGCTTAGTCTACTGAGTGTTAAATTCCTATTCATTCTCAGGATTACTTCATTCACCTATTCGGGTAAAGTGGGCTGCATCAATCACCAGAAATCAACATCAGTTTCAATTCTTGGAATAAGTTTTTAAAGAGAGTGTGAAATTTTTCAAGGGAAATTTTTATACTTGTGCAAACACAATATCATTCTTTGCCCGGCGGTGGTGGCGCACGCCTTTAATCCCAGCACTCAGGAGGCAGAGGCAGGCGGATCTCTGTGAGTTTGAGGCCAGCCTGGTCTACAAAGCTATACAGAGAAATTCTGTCTCAAAAAACCAATACATATATATATATATATGTATGTATAAAGTTTTGTGAAGAACATATTTATGATTTCACCTGCAAACAGGTTTAGAGATGCTCTCTTCTGAAGCTATGCGTGGCCATATCACTGAAAGCTGGGAGTTAGTGTGCATATAGGCCTGAGGTTTCACTTCTGTTTGCATACTGTGTGTGTGGTGGCCGACTCTCCTTCCTGGATATTCTCTTGCAGCTATAACGTTAGAAACTTGAGCATCTCTGATGGTCATTTGATAATGGGCATCACTTCAATTTCTTTCTTGTTCTCTCTGCTACCCTAACATTATTCTGTTTTGGTCCTGGCTTATTTTGTTTTTGTTTTGTTTTGTTTTTTGTTTTTTAAATTGTACTGTTAAGTTTTAGTAGGGGGTTCCTAAATTGGAGATTATAATTGATTTTTAAGGCTCTTATTATATGTACCAAACTGTCTTCTAGAAGGATTGAGTTAGTTTTTATTGTGCAACCAGCTATCCCAGAGGATTCACCAATGTAGTTTTTCATTTTTCTTTGTTTTGTAAGTGTTATGTAATGTTATTGTTGCTTTAATTTGTGTTTCACAATTAGTGAGACTGAATTTTCCACATGCTGGTCTACTCTTTATTTCTACTTGTGTAAATTGTCCTTCAACAGGAATATTTTTTTTTGCTACCTAACCTTGAGCAGGATGCTCCCTGTAAAGATTTGTGTCAGTTTATCTTGTCTTTAAAACGTATTTTTAAATTACACTTACTTATTCTGGGGGCAGGGACGTGTGTCACAGTATACACATAGAGGACAACCTGCAGGTGGGTCCTGGTGACAAAACTCAGGTCACCTTTACCCACTGAGCCATCTCACCAGGCCTACATTCCCTTTTCCAACCTGTTTCCGAACTTAAAGGTATTCGTGTCGATATGTCTTGTATATTGAGTAAATTCCTCCACGTCTGTCCTATCCCCTGTCTTCCCTCCCATCCCCAACCCCCTAGCTCCCTCTGCTCTATGCAGATTCTCCTCTACCTTCATGTCATGTATGTACATGCTTCTTGTCTATATAAAACATGAACCAAAAGTAAGAGAAAACGTGTCATTTTGTCTCTTTAAGACTGGCATAATTCACTTAATATGATGGTTTCCAGCTCTATTCATTATCCTACAAAAGACATAATTGGTTCTTCTTCGTGGTTAGGACATTCTGTATGCATGCATACCGTATTTTCTTGACCCTTACTTTCTGTTAACAAACAGTTCTTAAGGGTAAATTGTAAAAGCTGTAATGTTAAGATTGAGTCGTGGCTCTCCTATATCTTACTGCCTTTAAGAGAAGATTCCTTTGCATTTCTTTGCCTCTCCTTACATGCGAATGAGTGTTAGAATGCACCTGCTTTGCTGGCTTGCACCTTTACCTGCTCTGGCAGAGCAGATACCCTGGTTCTACATGGAGATTTTTTTCATAGTCTCTTTGTAAATCCAAATACTAAGTTTTTGGGATGAATAACATATATCAAATCACTGTTTTGATTTTTAAAAGGTTTGTTTCTTTGTTTTAGAAGAAATTACAAAACTTTTGTATTTCTACTTTTGTATTTTGTTTCAATTTTCTCAGTTATTAAAAAGGAATCTACCAAACAGTAAGACACAGAACAGCATACATGCAAGGTTCTTAAGTGTGGTTTTTAAGGTCCCTTCTGGAGAAATCAAGGCTTTGAATGGACTAAGGAAACACAGTTGTAAGTCTGTGACAATAAGATTGCCACTGGGGGACTGGGCCTCTGGGACAGAGATAACACACATTCACCTACTTATTTAACTTGGTTTATGGGACTTTTTCACTAAGATGAAGATTGAACAACTAAGTTTAAAGGTCTTTCTCCTAAGATAATATGTAAAGGCATCTACATCATACCTTAGTGCAAACAGAAACATTAGACAGTGCAAAGGAATTCAACATAACCTTGATTTAAAAAGAGAACATTTATGTTCATAGCTCAGTTGTATACATTCAAAAATCAAGCATTGCTTGCAAAACATGAAATATAATAAACTTGAAAAACAAGAAAATAGATCCATATCTCGATAGCCTGAAAGAAAGCCACTAAGAATCTGTTTCAACCCACAGAATTATACAGAACTACATCCAGCTAGAATTAAGTAAGGTTACCTACATATTTAGTCCTTAGCTTTCTGACAGGGCTGCCTCTTCATAGGAATGGTCTCAGTGAGAATGACGCTCTTTGGAACACAAATCCAGGAAGTTCCCTGTCATTAGAGTGATAAGAAATAGAATTGGTTTCAGTGTTACATTGTCCATGGGGGAGATGTGTGCTTTTTTTTCAAGAGAAACAAAAGATTCCTTTTCTTTGAGACTGAAGAAAATGACCCAGTGTACAGAGCACAGTGCATATTTGATAGCAATATTATCAAGTAGGAGTAGCCCCTAACAGTAACTGCAGTGTCCCTCAAGGCAAGCAAGGGTGTGCTTCCAAAGCACAGCTCATTAACTGAGCTTCCCTGGCAGCAAAGCAAATGCCCAGTCCTCTGCTGAGTCAGAAAGATTGCACACTGTCTTAGTCACGGTTCTATTGCTGTGAAGACACACTGTCACCATGGCAACTCTTACTAAAGAAAGCATTTAATTGGGGCTGGCTTACAGTTTCAGAGGCTTAGTCCATTGTTATCATGAAGAGCCTGACACTACACAGGCAGACTTGGTGCTGGAGAAGTAGCTGAGAGTTCTACATCCTGATCTGCAGGAAGCAAGGAGAGAGAGACCTCAAATCCTATTCTCCAGTGTCACACTTTCTCCAACAAGGCCACACCCACTCCAGTAAGGCCACACCTCCTAATCATTGTCAAATGATATAATGATGCTCCTATGAGGACCATTCTTATACAGAGCAGACAGAACATGTTTTAAAACCATGCTGTGGCCAGGCGGTGGTGGTATACGCCTTTAATCCCAGCACTCGGGAGGCAGAGGCAGGCGGATCTCTGTGAGTTCGAGGCCAGGCTGGACCGATAGCCTTCAAAACAATACAGAGAAACCCTGTCTCATAAAAACCAAAAAAAAAAAAAAAAAAAAGAGCTAGTTCTAGGGCAGCCTCCAAAGCCACAAAGAAACCCTGTCTCGAAAAAACAAAAAAACAAAAGCAACAACAAAAAAGACCATGCTGGGTGGGCTGAAGCCTGAGATGCATTTAATATGAAAGCGGAAGAGGGAAGGAAGGCACCCAGGAAAGGAGGGCAAGGAAGTGGGGGACCCTGTGGGGGAAGGGGTGACTTAGACCAAAGTTAATGACAGATGTATATGAAATGATTCAGTGAGACGCATTAGTTTGTATGTTAACCTACAATTTTAATTTAAAAATGGAAAATAATAAAAGTTGGGTAGGGAACTTTTAAGAAAAATAAGATACATAAGCACATTTGTGACTATATTTTATAGATTGTATACATTAATTTCTTTAAAATGTCATTATGAATTAACAGTTGTCAAGAAACACTAAAAAATGTATACAATAAAATATGAAAAGTAGGGGCTGGAGAGATGACTCAGTGGTTAAGAGCTCTTAGCAGAGGACTGGAATTTGGTGCTTAGCAGCTCATAACTCCAGCTCCAGGGAATGAATCCTATGCACTCTGGCCTCTAAGAGTTCCTGCACTCAACATGTACATACACATGAAGACATATACATATACATAATTTAAAATACTGAAAATGTTTTGTAAAAAAAGAATCAGAAGAGTAGATAATGTTGATGCTTTGTTTACTGGAATTGTATTAGGTAAATGTAAGTGTCTGTGGTGATTTGAATAAGCATGGCCTCCATAGGCTCACAGACATTAGGAGTGACTATTTAACAGAATTATAATGGTTAGGAGTGTGGCCTTGTTGGAGTAGGTGTGTCACAGGTGCCAGCCCAGGCTTTCTCTCTGTCCAGCTTGCGGATCAGGATGTAATTCTCAGCTACTTCTCTCAGTATCACTCCTGTCTGCTGCCATGCTCCCTGCCTTGATGATAATGGACTAAGCTCTGAAACTGTTAAGCAAACCCCCAATTAAATGCTTTCATTTATAAGAGATATCTTGCTCATGGTGTCCCTTCACAGTAAAAGAATTGTAACTAAGATCGTGTTATAGTAAAAATAAATTTTATTTTTCAGAAGTATACACAGAGCAATGGACGAAGACCTTTTGGTATTTCAGCCTTAATTGTAGGCTTTGATGATGATGGTATCCCAAGATTGTATCAGACAGATCCCTCCGGTACTTACCATGCTTGGAAGGTGAGTAATGAGTTTGGACATTTTTCATAGAAGTTGTCAAATATATGTAAATGCTTTATTGTTTTCAGGGACATGACAGAATTATGTTGCATTAAAATACTGAGTATGACACCGACTATGAACTGTAGTCATTTAGCTCCTCAGGAATGATGGTTTAAGAAAGTAAAAGATCTTGGTTCAAACCAGTGATGGTGGCACGTGCCTGTAGCCCCAGCTTTTAGAAAGCTGGGGCTGGATAGTTGGTAGGATCCAAGGATAGCCAGGGTTGCATAGTGAGTTTCAGGTCAGCCTGAGGGAGATCTTGTCTTAGAAAACAAAACAACAACAACAACAACAAAAACTCTAAACAAATGAATTAAAACCACACTAAAGTTTGAGTTCTATTAACATTTTCATACATGGATTTCATTGGACTCCATTCGTATTTGTCCTTCCATTACCTGCCCCCCCCCCCGTCCTTATCAGGGTTACCCATCATTGTCTGTAAAAGACCTTTTAGATCAGGATGGCCAAGAAGCTTGGCGGACTTACTGCTAATTCTGTAGGTCAGGGGTAGGAAACAATTTACAGCAACCAACCCAAAATGAATTGTTAAATGATTTTACAACTGCCTCGTGCTCCAAGAACAGATGGGTTCTATGACTGAGTGAGTCTCTTCAGGCCTGCAAGCTGACTCAGTCTAATAGCTGGACATTGTGGTATCATATCAATCCAGAAATACTGATACCTTTACTGCCTGCATGTGAATTAAATGGGAGGGGGGAAGGTCTGTTCTGGGCAGTAAAGACTGAGGCATCTTGCAAATGTTACCAAGTGAGTAAATATAACCATAACTTAAAAGAACACTCGGGAACTTCACTGCCTCTCTAGCAGGTGAACCACTGCGAAATTTGGTCACTAAGCTGACTTATTTAAAGATTCTGCTCCTCATGTCACCAATTGCAGATTGAGACCTCATCCATACTTAGAAAAATCCCTAAGAGTTAGTTCCCCATTCCTATTCCTTTGATATTCTCAGTACTTCCTCGGAATCTCTATAATGGGCAAGATCAAACATCTGGAACCCAATTAAAAATGTTAGGTCAGTACTCATGTGATTGGCCCAGATCACTGTATGTTCTCACCTTCATTCCCTTTGTATATATGAGGCTACTTGTGCCTCTATGACCCAAAGGAAAAACTGGCAACAGATAACAGTTCCCTTTGTGTGTGTACATAATGCCGATTCAGTGTGGTAAAGCTGCTGGTGCCTCAGCCCCAAGCCTTACTGTTACTCACCTTACTCTCCACCAACATGAATTTGCCATGAATAAACAAGCACATTTAACCTACATGTGAGTCACCTTCAATGAAATAGTCAATGCTGTTAACCCTGCTGGAAAATCTTGGCTACATGCACAGTGCTTTAGCATTTTGTGTGATAGAATGACCATACAACACATCTGCAAGTACAGTGGGGATTACTCTGAGAAAACAATCAGGCTATTCTTTCACAGCCCGTGCTTAATGGAGCTTCATTTGTGTCTGATAGAACAGACAGCAATGGTGTTTATTCACATATGGAATTTGGCAGGGCATGTTCTCAGGACTGAAAGACTCAGGCTTGTTTTGTGCAGAAAACATCAGATAATATTTGTTGCTAATGATACAATTCAAGGTTTAAAGCAAAATTTAGAAAACATGTATTTATCACAATGCACCCTACAGTTTCTCAGTATTCCTTTGATGAGACTGTTGGTAAAATGAACGAGTATAACTATTTGATATTTTAGAAATGAGATAGGTCAAAAATTAGAATATCGTTATAATTCAGTGAGCCAATGTTTTTCAGGTGACCAAGGCCCAGTATAAAAGATCTATTCAAAACAACTAATGACTGTTGAGTGTTCAAAGTTAAAACTGATCATAGCACTATGAGCTGAGTCAAGATAATAAAAGATTTGATCCTACCCTGAACTGTATATAGGGTTCAGGCCAGCTTAGGGAGGAGCCTTTGCAAAATACAAAGCAAAATTAAAAACAAAAACATGGCAATACTATCACTATCAACAACAAAATCATAAGGGAATGCAGGGCTTTTCTGTTTGTCTTAAACAGGATCTTTCTGTGTAGTCCATGCTGGCCTAGAACTCATGTTTCAGCTTATTGTCTACTGAGGTTATAGGCATGTACCACCATATCCTACCAAGAAATTTTAAATTTACTTTAAAATAATAGCCAAGATACATTAGTGTAAACAGTTTAAAACATTCCCTTTTGTGGTTCCAGATTCTAACCTGTAATTAACTGTTACAAAGCAACTACCTTGAGTGGAATTTGAACACTTCACTGAGAAGGACATTAAAATGTCCTTTCCTAACACTTGAATGAAGCTATAATTCGACTAAAGTAATAGTATTTAAAACAGTGAATGTGAAACAACACATAGAAAAATTCTGCTTTTTAGTGTCTGTGTGTGCATGTGCATTCAACCTTTTAGAGATGTATTTTTTCTTATGTGTATGGGTGTTCTGCTTGCATGTGTGTCTGTGTACCGTGTGCATATCTGATACCAGGAGTGAGAGTCTCATCCTTTGTAACTGGGCTGCAGTTGGTTGTTTGGTTGCCATGTGACTGCTTGGAATTGAACTCTCATCCTCTGGAAGGGGCATCTAGTACTCCTAGCTGCTGAGCCATCTCCCTGGTCCTGAAGTCTACTCTAAAAGTTATTTTGTTTTTAATTGAATGTTAAAATATAAGTATGTCATTTTCTTTCTTTCCTCTCCCAACATCTGCTCCCTTATCCTGCTCCCTCAAATCATGGCATCTTTTTCTTTATTCTTGTTACATACATATGTATATGTGTGTCTGTGTGTATATGAGTCCATTTAATGTTGCTTGTATGTATGTTTTAGGGTTAGTCATTTTGTATTGGATCAACCATGGGCTTATCTCTAGGAAAGACTAATTCTACTTCTCTCAGCACATGTTGGTTGCCAGTAACTTTTTACAGAGGTGGCCCTATGAGATTTGTCCTATCCACGTTGGCATGTGCACACAGAAGAGGTGACTTAGCTGTGTTTCTCATCTCATAGGCACGGAAATTAGGTCCCACTTTAAAAACGCTATTTAGTTCGGCATGCCTTTAATCCCAGCACTCGGGAGGCAGAGGCAAGTGGATCTCTGTGAGTTCGAGACCAGCCTGATCTACAAGAGCTAGTTCCGATAGACCCAAGAGAAACCCTGTCTTGAAAAAAAAAGCTATTTAACCTTAATTATCCCACCAAACATCTTAGCTTCAAAACTAGTCACATTGAATGGTTGGGACTTCAACTTAGGAATTTGAGGGAATATAATTCAAATTCTAGTAAGTTGATACCAGTGCTATTATTATGAATTTAATTGTATTTTCCACAGCGGGGTTGGGGAAAGGGAAACTATGTGAGGGTTTTGTAAGAAAGCAGCTGTCTTAAAGCAGTTTGTAATTCAAGTCTCCGTCTTTGAGGACAGTTTTTGTTGCTTAAACCGCCAAGTTGGTGGTATTTGTAATGGCAGACCAAAAAGATTAGTACAACAAATGGGCCTGTTATGTTAAGTGAATTGAGTATTTTATCATTGTTTATTATATTTATTGGGTCTGTATTTCATTTTATACCATAGTATTTATATGCTACGTAAACTAGCTTGCTGCAATTTTGTGATAAGAGACTGAGGATGCCCGAGTCAGAAACACTACAACTCGTGTGACATGAGGAACAGCATATTTGCATGGATTGCCCTTGACCTCCAACCTCACAGGGTTAATGGAATGAATCTGTTCAAGTCTCAGCAGCAGGAAGGAGAGCAGAACCCTAACAGGAATGGGGCAGGGCAAGATACATCCCCCAAAGACATCCCCTCCCCACCCCATCCCACCTTTCCCAACCAGGATCTGCCTTCCACAGCCCCACCACACCCCGCTAGTCTGCTCGGATTTTGAATTCGTTAACTGAATAAACCCAGCACCACACCAGAGAAGGTGGTTGTGTCTGTAAAGGCCCTCAGCTCCTTCAGAATGTGCCCTGCAGACATCTACAGGTTTGTTAATCCAGTCAGGTTGACAAGATTAATTGTCCCAGGACCCCTGGAGCTTTCAACAATGACTGGTAAATCACACACACTCACTCACCTTGTCGTGCTTGGTAATATTTTGGAGTGTAAACTGCTGATTTCTAATAGGAATAAGCGCACTTAAAAGAGGAAGACCAATGGTAAGTGACGTAGCTTTGCTACAAGCCACACTGTCTCCGTGCTTGGGTGTGTGGTCCTGTTGTCAACAGGATGACTCTTAAATGCTAAGTCAGATCTGCTGGAAGCCTATCCTGAATCCCCTGCAACTCCCAACAGATTCCAAAGCTCTTCCCGGTTTGGGAGCCTCATTTATCTGGGTCTTCTCAGCGGCGCACCCACACCTGGGCTCAGCCACACTGGTGCCTTCTGTTCTGTGGCAGAGTGTACCTTCCTCGGAGTTTCTGTCTTTTGTTTTCCCACAGTCTTTCCCCTGCTTTGAGCTTTCTTCTCAGAGATGTATGCATGGCTGCTGTCTTGTTTTGAGGATGCCCCTTCTAACCAGCCGTCCATGAAGGCAGCCCATGCCCAGTGCCCTTCTCTTCTTGGTTTATTTTCTGATGTCCACATGCTATTCCCTTGTTTACTGTCTGTCTCCCCATGTCCCACTGGACTTGAAGCTATCTTAGGACAGGGGCTGCTGTCTATGTCTTATGTTACTGAACCACTAGTGTTCGGATCTTGCATTCAAGAAGGGCATTAGTTATAGTTAATGAATAAACAAGGAAAGTATATAACATTATCTACTTGAATCTCAGCTGGAAGTATTCTCTTGAACTTTTGAAACCTTATCAATTCTTATTCTTTTCTAATTATTTCCTCTATTACATAAAAATGTACTAGAGAAAGTTTGTGCTAGCCTTGAAGATTTATGGAAAATACTAATCATATATTTTATGATGAAGAACTATGAC